GCCGTCGGCGCCGCAGTCGGCGCGGCTGTCCGCGCCGCAGGCTGCGCCACTGTCCCTGCCGATGCCGTCGCAACTGCCGATGTCGTCGCGGCTGCCCGCTGTGCCGCGGTCAGCTCGGCCGTCAGCGCCGCAGGCATAGCCGTCGGCGTACCTGTCGGCAAGGTGGTCAGCGCAACCGTCGTCGCAGCTATCGGGGCCGCGGCCGGCGTAGCTGCAGTTGGTGCCGCTGCGTCCGTAGCTGCCAGCCCCGTCGCTCGGGCGCGTGCCATAGGCACCCCAGGCCTTGACCCGCTGCCTAACCTTCGTAACGTGAGCGACAAGGCCGCCCTCCACCGGCGCGTTCCCAACCGAGAGGCCGCAAGCCTTCGCGAAGTCGAACGCCGTGTCGCCGCTGCTGACCAGCTCGCACTCGGCGTCCGGCACGGGCTCGATCGCCAGTGGCCTCACGATCGTCTCGGCGCTGTCCACGACGGCTGCCCTGCCAATGCCGCGGGTGGCGGAGACGCCAGTGACGCTGTCGGCGCGGTTGTCGGTGCCGTAATCGGTGCTGCGATCGACGCCGCCGTCGGCGCCGCTATCGGCGCGGCGGCTGCCGGTGCCGCAGCAATCGCGGGCGTCGGTGCCGCCGTTGGCGGTGCTGGCGGTGCAGCCGTGGGCGCGGGCGTCGGTGCAGCTGTCGGCGATGCAGTCGGCGCAGCGGTCGGCGAGGCTGCAGGCGCTGCAGACTGCGCGGGCGTCGGTGCTGCAGTTGGCAGAGCCGCCGGCGGAGCTGTAGGTGCGGGCGTCGGTGCAGCTGTCGGCGATACCGCCAGCGCAGCTGTCGGCGATGCTGTCGGGGCAACGGTTGGCGCGGCTGTCCGCGCCGCAGCCGGCGGGGCTGCTGACGCCAGCGTCGGCGCAGTTGCTGGTGCGGCTGTCGACGAGGTGGTCGGTGAGGCCGTCGCACGTCGCCGCGGCCGTGACCATGGAGGCCGGTTGATCCCCTATCGGATCGTACATCGCAAACATGAAGGCCGAGTGCTCGCCCATCGGACTGTACCAGATGCCCGTCTTGTCGCAGACGGCGCCGCTGCCGGAGCCGATGTGGGCAAAGCTGTCGGTCCCGCGGTGGGCGTACCTGTCGTTGCAACCGTCGCCGTCAGTAACGCCGTCGGCGCCGCTGTACGCGCGGCAGTCGTCGCCACTGGCGGGTCTGATGCCGGTGCCGCAGTTGTCGGAGAGGCTGTCGGTGCCGTCGGCGCCGCTGTCGGTGATGCCGTCGGCGCCCCTGCAGGTGTAGCTGCAAGCGCCGCGGTCGGGGCGGCTGTCGGCGCCGCCGTCGGCGCAGCCGTCGGCGGGGCCGTCGGTGCAGCCGGCGGCAGCGCAGCTGTCGGCGAAGCCGTCGACGCCGCAGTCGGGGCAGCAACCGACGTCACTGGAGGCGCAGCCGCCGACGTGGCAGTCGCTACCCTCTACGGTCGCCGTCGGCCTCGCTGGGCAGTCGAGGCCGCGGTTGACGCAGAGCGCGGCGAAACTGGTGGTGCGGCCCTCAATGCGGCCGTCGGTGATGCTGTCGACGCTGCTGTGGGCGTGGCTGTCGGCGCCGTCGTCGACGCCGCCGCAGGCGCCGCTGTTGGCGCCACTATCGGCGAGGCTGTCGGCCGAAAGTCGCACCAAGCCGGGCAGGGTCGCCGCTGGCACTTCGCCCCTGAGGCTTGTCCCCACGCGGCTTGACCCAGCGGCGCCCTGGCCCTCAACTAGCAACCCCCCTCCCGCGTAAGGCTGGTCCCCCCGCGGACAGGCCCGGCCGGGCCAGGGCCCGCAGCAGACGGTGGGTTGTCGCGGATGACCCAATCAGAGAACGCCTCTTTCAAGCACGACCGCACGGGGAGTACCAGCACACGGCGGGGCACGCCCATCATGTCCAGGAACGCCAGGGCGCCGTGGGACACCGGTAAGCCCAGGAGCACCTGCATGCCGTCGAGCACCAGCATGATCTGCACCTCGGGCGAGCCGAGGAGTAGGAGCGCGCGTGTGGACGCGAGCGCGCCCCTGCGTCCCAGCGCGCCGGGGGGCACAGCCCCGCCACCAAGCGCGCGTGCACCGTTGAGCACCGGCGCGCCTGTGAGCCCCCGCCCGCAGTAGATCAGGGGTAGACCTGCAGCTGGGGTTCCGCTCCTCGAGCTGATCCCCTCGCAACTGGGCCAATTCGAGCTCTTTCCACCGCGATCCAAGCCAAAATCTCCAGAGCCGTCTCGGCCAGGTACGCACGCTAGCCCACGGCCGCCGAGGTTGGGCGTGCCAGGGGACGCGTGATCAGGTAGGTGTAGACGCGCTGCGACCGGCAGGCAGTCGAACAAGGAGGTCGAGATGATCGAAATGCCTGGCTTGGGCCTGCCGCCCGAGGTCGAGCTGAAGGAGAAGCCTGCTGGGCCTGGGCCGGGACACCCCCCGGCAAATCCAGGATTTTTCTGAAAATGAATGGACTTCCCCGCCAGTGGGTCGGTGGACACCGAGGTCGGCAGCGATTGCCCAGCAGGCGACTCAAGATGAAGTGGTCCATTGCGGTGGCTGCATCGTCGGCAACGTAAGCGGGGATTGCGGGAACTCGAACCAGCCCCTGCAGCTTGCCGAGAGGTTCCCACGCGGCCACTACACCTGGTTTGAAAGCCATCGAGCACGAGCATCGGGGCGCGCATGAACACCGGCGCGCTGTCAAGCGAGAGCGCCCGGGTGCAAAAGGGGGCCCGCATGTCGGGGAGCGCCCGGGCGCTCCAGGGTCCGTGCATGTCCCTGAGCGCGACCACACCCGGCACCGGCCTACCCAAGAAGAGCAAGGCCTTCGCGTCGACGTGCGTGCCAGAGCGGGTACCGGTGTCAGCGCCGCCGTCGATGTTGGCGATGATGCTGGCCGCTACGGCCTCGGGGACCACGCCGGGCACGCTTGGGGTCCTCACCAAGACATCGAAGGCAAGACCAGTGCCGCGGTCGATGCCGCCGTCGACGCCGCGGTTGGCGCCGCCGTTGTCGAGGCCGACGGGGGGGTGTCGCGCCGCGCTGGGCGGGACCGCCGCGGTGGGCTTCCCGCCCCGCGTCGGCGCGATGCTGGGCACCAGGGCGCACGCGTGCGCCACGTCCTCGGAAGCGTGGTCGGTGCCCTGGGTGATGTAACTGACGGCGTCACTGACGGTGAAGCCGTGGGCACGGGTGTCGGCGCAGCTGTCGGTGATGCAGTCGGCGCAGCTGTCGGCGAGGCTGACGGAGCCACAGACGGCGCGGGTGTCAGTGCTGCAGTTAGCGGGGCCGCCGGCGAAGCTGCAGGTGCGGGCGTTGGCGCAGCTGTCGTCGATGCTATCGTCGATGCTGTCGGCGCCGTCGGCGCTGCTGTCGGTGATGCCGCCGGCGCCCCTGCAGGTGTGGCCGCAAGCGCCGTCGGCGGGGCGGCTGTCGGCGCCGCCGTCGGCGCAGCCGTCGGCGGGGCCGTCGATGCGGCCGGCGGCAGCGCAGCTGTCGGCGAAGCCGTCGACGCCGCAGTCGGGGTGGCAGCCGACACAACTGC